AATCAAACTTAGCGGTAAAGGTCCCTCTAGCTGTCTGTCATCGTGGGGATGGATACGAACATGTTCACCTCTTGGACATCCTTTTGATCCTTGAACTAACCTTTAACACATAAGTCGTGCAATCTGTCGCATTTGCTGATTCAAGTTTCCGGTATTTGACTAGTCACGTTAACCTTGCTTACCAGTTCAACACTAATCCCGCGGAAATCATTATACATCAAATACATGGTTGCGGTAATATTCTCAAGACAGTTAGATTGTAGCTTATACATAACTTTAAAACTAGGCTTAGAAAACTTTGCAATGGGCAACTTGCTTTGTTGAAAGTTATTGGGAAAACTTCCAAGAAATATAACGTTCCCTTGTATAAGATTCAGTCTCTGAAAATCTTTGCAACTTTTGCAAACATGAGAGCTTTCAATTTATATTATGTACAGCAAAGACATCTGCTACATGTCATTTGTAAAAACAAGTATGGTACTCATGCAATCTGCTGCACCTGCAAACCCATAATTTAGAAGCAATATCTTGCTCGATCTCTTTCAGTCGACTTTTATGTTACTGATGGAGATAAAATAGGTGGGTTCCCTCTTCTACTGAATACTCAACACGAGACACTAATTCCGCAAAAGCCGATCCTTCATCTCTCTCTCTCTCTCTCTCTCTCTCTCTCTCTCTCTCTCTCTCTCTCTCTCTCTCTCTCTCTCTCTCTCTCTCTCTCTCTCTCTCTCTCTCTCTCTCTCTCAAGTTGATATTTGCCTTCCACAGCAGTTAAATCGCCAGACTATATTTTAGCAGGCATGTTTTCATCCTGCATGTCAGTAGCAATATGTCAGGAGTGGTTCTTTCGGAGAATGAATAACTGTCATGTAGCATTTGTCATTGATTTTCTCTTAGAACGACAGTAGATACACCTGCCCCTTGGTCTTGGATGCCTTTTCTATTCCTTTCCAGTCATAACTTCAAATGTTTCAATTTCGTATAGCAAAAGCGATGTTATGAGACATTTTTTCAGTACGTTTTATCGCCGTTCCTTCTTTCCCAACGTTCACATGTGTTTGGCAATGCATCTATTACTTCGGCTTTGTGGATAACATAAACCTCCCTGGAGTAGATTTCTGTCAAATAATACAAGCTGTGAGGTCCATTTGAACCAAGTTACAAGCATCTAGACAGTCAGGAAATCATGGACTTTGTGACGCGTTGGGAAGTTTTCATTGTGATTCGAGAAGTGAATATTACATAAAACGGAAGTGTCTCTTTCTCTTGAATTTTATATAATGTGACATAAACACACGGACATACCTAATCAATAATAATCTAAAAAAGGGATTTTGGATAGTTTTAGTGGGTTTTGGATAGTGTAGGTTGTGTGATAGATGGTCTATTTTGTACGATTTTATCTTTTTTCTTGAAACGCTTCGAGTTTATTTTGATCGTAGGTGTGGTGACACTATACAAGATGTTTTGAATAGTGTATAAGAGGTCCACGATGGTATAGGTGATGTGATAAATAGTATGTTTGCTAGATTTAGAACTTCATTTACCACATACCTCGGATTTCTTCTGATAGATGTTGGATTTTAAATACTAGTCAGGGTGTTTTTGGTTGTGTATATGGTGTTTTGTATGTATAGGGTGTTTGATAGTAGATAGCGTGTATGGGGTATTGGATGAATAGGTGATGTTATGGATATTATGTTGGTGAGATTTAGTCCCTTTGTTTAAACACTACGCATTTCTGCTGATAGTAGGTGTTAGATTAAAAGAATACCCAAGGCATTTTATATGTAAGAAAACCAAATAGGAAAATTTTGCACATTTACATTGTTTGACACTTTGTAAAATATAGTTTAAACCTTTTATATTTAATGGAAAATTCATCTTTTATCAATACTAAATTTTATATAAACTTGAAATTGTAGTAATAACCTACCATATTTAAATTCATCCCGGTTATTTGTCAGTTTCCGCCAAAGTCAGTATGAGTTTCGGATTGTCAGTACAACTTTTAGTCATAGCCAATTATTTTCAAAAATATTACTGATAATTTTCAGTCTCAACTAAAGTCCTGTAAAATTCGGAATATTAATTCTACTTTTAGTCTAAACCATTTGCATATTAATGTTCCCGATTTATGTCTCCAGTAGAGTCTGGACATATTTGTAGTACTTTTGCTACTAGTTTTTTGTGTGCCTATATTAAATATTACATATTTTTCAGTCGACATAAAGTCCGGCATAGTTTTGGAATTGTAGTTCTATTTTTAGTCTTTACCAAGGGTTTTTTTTTTAAAATGAAAATTTCGGATAATTTTCAGTCTCCATTATTGTCCGGTTCTATTTTGGAATTATAGTGCTACTTTTATAATCCGTTATTTGAATGGTAATGTTCCGGCCTTTTTCAAGGTTAAGTTATAGTACCGATAAAGTGATTTCGTGTTGTCAGATAATTTTCTCGTACTTTATTTGAAAAAACCTAAGAATCCTGCGCCCATATTTACCAGCTGTAGCATATATAGGGTCAGTTTGAATATTGTTACTAAGTCACAGCAATTGAAGTCAGCCACTTGTAACACTCTTATCGTTTTCAGGGTATGAACACTTTTGATCCCCAAGTTGTAACACTGTTATTGTTCGGAGGCTATAAAATATTGTGATCCCTTGTATCACCTCCTTGTATACCCTATTGCCAAATTTAAAATAGATTTCTCGTACGACCCCACCCAGTGCCATTTTTGACACTCCAGAAGGAGGTCTCCTGCCCCCGCATCGTACATACCATTCTGCGCCATAAACAAACACTCTTTTGCCTCATCAACACGTTAGCCCACAAACCCATTACTCTGTTAACCATATTCACCACCAATTGCTTTCTATAATTACTGCCTACAAATGACACATCTGCCGCCAATTGGGACATATTACTACTTATGGCTTCAGAATTATAAAAAATGTCGAATCTTTCATTATATATTTGCACCCGTTAAATTTATACCTTACCTAAATAAATGACATGTAAGAATCAAACTAGTACTATTTTATCTACATTTAATAAAATAATTTTGTTTCAAAAACATTACAGTTACAGTAAATAATTTATATTTTATACACGTCCTCTGAATGGTTGAAGGGATGTTTCACTTTTTTTTACGCCGGGTTAACATGTATCCTCTGTTGGACGGATAAAACATTTCAAAAGGGAATCATTAATAAACCAGTAAATAAAAAAGTATAACAGATCCATGCAAAACAATCATTTAGAATAATCTATATAAAATAAGAAATAATAACAGTAGATCAAACTAAGCCTAATTACTGGCATGTTGAAAGGGGGTACATATAAATATTTATGTAATCGCTTTTACATTTGTTTGCTAATTTATGTATTATCTTACTTCATGGATGTTGCATTATTTTTGCAAGTGTTATAAAAGCAGTCATTTATAAAAGATCAGTTTTGTTTGAAGTGAAAATGACATAAACTGAATTAAATGGCATGACATATAATGATCTTATTTATAATTGCAAGCCTATAAATGACAAAAGAAATATTTGACTTCATTTTCACCTCTTTATAAAGTTAAAATATTGTTTTCCTAAAAAGTCTTCCATAATACAAATTGTATACAGAATAATTCAATCTAAAATTGTGAAACAATTGATTAAAAAATTCAGTTTTGCAATTATAGATTATAATGCTTTAAATTCTAGAATCTATTGTATAGGGTGGTGTTTTGTCAACTTGACACCAGTTACAAGTAAATCCTAAATTTTAAAATTTTTAACAAAATCAGCGATGATTAATAAGGATACCAATATTCGAAATTTAATTGAAAAGAAAAACAAATAAGCCATGCTAATAAAAAGAGAAAACTAGACAACACGCATGAGCACACTTTCTTTACTGCATGTAATTTTATGTCTCAAACATGATATACAATTCGAACATAAACAAACAATTAATATAAAATTGTATTCAATATTTTCATAAGCACAATAATTAATGTTATTAATTAAAATGGGTTTTGTATTAATATACGAAATGTAATAATATATAATGTACCGCTTCCAACGCATACATATTTCTATTTTAAAGTTTGCTTTTGGAAAATTAATAACATAGATCACGCTTGAATACATTTATGATAAAAACAATCTGCATCACATGTGCCGCAGTGATTTTATAAGAGTAATCTTTCCTTGGCATTGTAAGAAGACAGTGATTAAGCGTTGTATTTTTTATGTGACCCAATGTGGTGCATATCAACTCGCTACTTCGTAGTGAATTAAAGCCGGGTTTTGATTGGTCAACAATAAGTAATTTACCCATATTGGTTGAGAGTTCGTAAGTATCCATTGAACACAACTATTTGTATCATCTAAGACTGATGTTTCTGCTAGAAATAACTAAACTGCAATAAATCATGCCTTATATAGAAAAACAAAGAGGCAATTTAAGGTGCAGAATGAGGGTCAATAATCATTTTCAAATCGCTTTTGTCAATAAGGTCAAGCACATTGTCCGCTAGCCAATCAAGAATTAGGTCTGGCTTGTTTTCCCTTTTAAGAAACCTAATGGCCTGAACGCATCAAATCAACAGGTTTACTACCGTCATTAACCTACGTAATGTCTACTAATATGACGTCATCTTAAGGCATAAATGTACAACTATAAAGAAAATTAGTATTTAATATGGTATTTACTAAATGAACCTTTCAATCATTAATCTAGGAAACAAATTGACACATATATTAAAGATATCGTATGTGATTTAGATTTTAATTGTAGCTCTAAAAATATTTTCAGTCATACCTCTACGATGTCTGCAGTGTTGCAGTTTATAGTGATGTATAGCACTGGGGTTTCATGCAGTGGACATGGGGCACGATGTACAACCCAGTCACATTATCCTTACACCAGGCCAACCAGTCCTAACAGTAACCTCTTAATGCTGAGCGCCAAGTGAGACATCTGTTAGTACCATTTTTTAAAGTCATTGGTATGACCCGTTGAGGGTTCGAACCCAGAACCTCCCGCATTTGAGGCGGACGCTCTAACCACTAGCTCACCAGAGCGGTAACAACGTGTACATTTAAATTAATACCATCCCGTGTAAGATAATATGTATACCACAAGCCACACTCGTAAATTTAAATCAGTAACATCTCTCTAAATCTCGTGTATGGATATGATTGCACCATGAGTACATTGGAACAGATTAATCAGTGGCTTCCAGGTAGCGATGCCAGTAAAGCGCGAGCGCACCGGAAAATTTTAAATTAAGATAATCTTGTGGGGGACACAGAACGTAAAATAAATAAATACTTGTATAATTAAATACGTGCGATCTTTTCTTGCATAATAAACACATATTCACACCTAAAATATGAACCCTTGGTGGTGAAACCCGACGAAAATAACTCAATAAAACTATATCGGAGTGTGTTCCAGTTCAATCTAACTCACAACAGAAAATCAACATAGACTCGCCAAAATAATACTTGTGATAGCTACTTAAAAACCATACCCTCTTCAAAATATTAGAAAGTTATAGATCCTGGGTTAATTATTAATAAGGTTATATTGTAAATCATTTGTCAAGCGTGCTTTATACACGTAAGAAATGATATATATATATATATATATATATATATATATATATATATATATATATATATATATATATATATATATATATATATATATATATATTGAGATACGAATTTCAATTCTGCCTTAGAGATGCCATATCATACACAACCTATCTATCCTTTCTATCCTACTATAAAATGTTACGCTTTCTATCCTACTATAAAATGTTACACTGTCAGATTATACCACAACAGAGACAGGCAGATTGTCTAAAACTCGGATGTGCTATTATGCAGCAAGAATTAAGTTCTGATTGGCATTAAAACACGAATTTCAATTCTGCCTTATAGATACCATATCATACACAACCTATCTATCCTTTATATCCTACTATAAAATGTTACACTGTCAAATTATACCACTACAGAGACAGGCAGATTGTCTAAAACTCGGTTGCGTTATTATACAGCAAGAATTAAGTTCTGATTGGCAGTAAAACACGAGTGCTAATTCATATGGGAGATTTATATAATCAAATGAATGTTATTTAAAGCTAAATTACCATATAAATTATATTGCATTATTTTTGGTAATACTCCCAAGAAAAAAAATGTTCATTTTCTTCAAGTCCACATTAATATGTATGCGATCTAATTATTTTTTCTCAATCGAGTGTTGATTAATCGTGATGCAGTTATTTGTCCTATGTTGAGAAGAGAAAGAAAAAAATTATATTTCCATCTACCCAAATACAGCGCCTGGGTACGTGATTGTAACGATTGTGTAATGACCGTATTTTTTACTGAGTTGCATTTTGATAGATAATGATTTTGTCTCGTATGACTGAAGGAAGAAATGAGTTGTAAATGGCTTATTCCAGCTTGTATAGATTGGAAGCTTTTGAATGTCATAAGCTATGTGACTTGTGCAATCAAATATGCTTATGAGCAATGGATGACTAGAACCAGTTGTCATTTTTCATATAAATTAAGTTGGTATTATTGTATTCTTTGTCCATGACTTTCCAGTTTTAGTTTTTTCGACGTAAAGCTTCAGTAGTTACCGAATTTATTGTATTGGCCACGATTTTGGCTGCCTCACCTATCTCAGCAATGTAAAGTAGATTGACAGAGTTCGACAATTTTGAAAATACGCTACTGCTAAAACAATAAATTTTTGTGAAATTGCATCATTTTGCTGTCTTACTTGTACCCATACAATCCTTAAAATGATTGTCTCCTAAAATTAATAGAATAAGTCATATTTAAAGACTAGGTGTATAAGTTAAACAAATAGAGCAAAAGGCATATACAATTATATATTTGTTGCATCTGGTTTTATTTACGCTACACCAAATATATCAGGAAACACAGATCAATAAACTATTGTAACTTATGAAGCACACGGAACCCTGAAATTTTTCATTGGACAAGGAGGAGATAAGCCTACAATATCCTCTCAAGTGCAGTGAACTACAGGTGTGTAATCCTGTGTCCCCGTAGTGTATGCAATTTACCACATGTGTGTCATTTCCCAATGTATGTGGAAAACACACCATGTCAGTCAAATAAATGTCGTCTTTCAAAAACTCTAGACCCCGAGGATATGTTATTGTGTAAAATAAAAACAAATCCACCGTAAAGGAAGTGTATAAATGATTTCCCTGAGGTGGATCTCCTAATGTATGTGGATTTACAAGGTCCTCCTAATGTAGATAATGCTTATGTGTGTGTATGTGTGTGTGTGATTGTGTTTGTGTGTGTGCGTGTGTGTGATTTGGATTTATAACGTAGCTTTAAAGGTAGACCTGAGACCCCTGTATCACTTAACTCTAAATTATTAAACATCATGATTCATATAGTATCTGAAAATTTCTATCCTATGCGATCAACGGATGGCGAGATATTTAGTTTAAATGTACATGTCAAAATTTTCCCCGTAAGCCAAGTGCAACTTCGGCAGTTTCCGTAACAGAAGGCTGTGTGACGTCACAAGAGGAATACGCATTGTCAAGCGTAAAGCGTCTATAGATTGTATTTTGATTGTGTTTATTACTCGGTACGGGCAAGAGGTGTATCATTGGTGGATGTAGTAATACACCAAAAGATGGTGTTTAATTGCACCCGTTTCCCTCGGACAGTAACTATAAACGACTTTGGTCCCGGTTTGTGTGGCTGACAAGAGCGGATTGGAGAGTGCCATCAAAACATGCAACAATCTGTAGTGAGCATTTTCAACCCAATTCTTTTGAACCCAGTCAAAGTTTGATGGCTACGTTTGAAATAAAGAAAGAAGCTACTCTTCTCCCTAACGCAGTATTATCCATTATGCAACGAGGCATAGCGTGCTCATAGCCCTGGTGTGGACGAAAGTCACCCACCCACCACAACCAATAGTTTAGACCAGACACCCAAGTGCTGGAGACCGGCATACAAGAAGAGGAGTAGAGAACGGGTAATATAGTATCTCTAACTTTTGCAAATTGTCTTCCTTTTATGTCACTGCCTTATGAATGAATGATTGTTTCTTTTTCAAGTTAGTGTACATGTATGTATGTGTGTGTGTGTGTGTGTGTGAGAGAGAGAGAGAGAGAGAGAGAGAGAGAGAGAGAGAGAGAGAGAGAGAGAGAGAGAGAGAGAGAGAGAGAGAGAGAGAGAGAGAGAGAGAGAGAAAGAGAGAGAGAGAGAGAGAGAGAGAGAGAGAGAGAGAGAGAGAGAGAGAGAGAGAGAGAGAGAGAGAGAGAATCAGCTGCCATACATTGGTGATATAATTTTGAGGTGGAAAATATTTTACATAACTGAAAGTAATACAGTTTCTTCATACAAAGCTTCTCATTGCCATTTCATTAGTATAATGCATGACATCATGACCTCAGCTAAATTTATCTTTTAGACATTACAGGATGGTATGGTTACATGTACAAGTTCAGTTGACAATGTTACAGAAGACGAAGTAGAAAATGGAACTGTTTTTGTTCTGACCCAGATGTAATAGGTTTCACTAATCAAGATTAAAAACAAAGCAGAGCATTCAACAGTCAGGATTAAATAAAATTTTGTTAAAATACTTTGGCATTAAATTTTGGAACAAATAATATTAAACTTGACTAAATGTGAATAGATGACCAAATTGTCACACACTTCAGTAATGTGTGCTTTCTTTGAAAAAATCATTATCCCACCAATATGATTTGGTACTATTCTACTTTTTTTTTTCTAAAATGATGCATGTCCTAAAGTGTACAGATTGTGAGATGAACATTATGTTATTAAGGTATTTTATCCTAAAAAAAAGTTTCAGGTAAAAAGTCATAAAAGGAAATAAAAAAAATAAAATCTTGAAAATATAGTAACTTAATTGAAATTATAAAGACAGTGTCACAGTCTAGCAAGGTGGAAATGCATCTGGGCGTGTGGGCAGGATATCTGCTAGGTTTAAATTAGGTTGTAGTCATTAATGGCAGTTGCTATACTTGATTCTTCTATAATTTTCCAGAAGTATGATGCCTGTGACTCAAGATTGAATGCCGTAATAAATGGTAGTCCGACGGTTCATAGCGGTATGGTTCAACGCCTTTTTCACTACTCTCTTCTTGCCCTTCATCAAAAGAGGAGGAAAAATAAACCAATTCTGGTTCATGTTCGCTATCACTTGGCGACGAGTAACCATGTTGCTAGCCAGCTGGAGGTTCCTCTTGTGACGTCACAAGCTCGCGCATGCGTATTGGGTTGTTTACAAAATGTCGTCCGGTTGGTTTCGTAGAAGTCGCATTTTGGTGATATTTAAAGGTTTTTATCTCCAAATCCAGTTAATGAATTTACGTCATGTTTTCGCAGTGTACTTGAAATGTCGATTCAATTAAGATTATCGAAAGTAGTATATAGCATTCAGGTCTACCTTTAAAACATTTTCAAGTCATATCGCATGGCTGCAGTGTGACCCTTTATATAGTGATGTCTAGCACTGGGGCATTATGCTGCAGACATATGGCATGATATCCTACTCAGTCACATCATCCTGATACCAGACCGACTACTCCTAACATTAATCTTCTAATACTGGCTGCAAAGGGAGCACCTATCGTATCATATTCTATAAGTCTATTGTATGTCTCCGCATGGATTAGAACCCGCGACCCCCCGTATCCGATTCGGACACTCTAACCACTTTGGCTCCCGGATCAGTCACTTAATAATTCTAATAGTCTGGTTGTGAACATATCAGTAATCAGATCAATATCGATTGGTGCTAGCAGTAGATCTGCTCATTTGGTTTCTGTTTCCAGAGCGCTAAATTTGTTGAAATTGGAATGAGATTTGTTGTAAATCCAGACACGGTACATGTAGGCCACTTGGAGGTGCACGTTAACGCTGATTGCAGTATTAGGAGCTTTATGATCAGGATTCTTTGTATTTACGATGTCTGTGTGAATTGTATTTGTACCACTACTTACAAAGATTCGATCATGCAAGAATTTAGTAGT